ACCCCTGGAGGTGTTCAAGGCCAGGCTGGATGAGGCTCTGAGCAACCTGGTCTAGTGGGAAGTGTCCCTGCCCATGGCAGGGGGGGTGGAACTAGATGATATTTAAGGTCCTTTCCAACCCAAACCATTCTATGATTCTATGAAGTCTCTGACGAAACGTCTGGTGTGAAGCAGAAGTTGGGGACAGACCCTGATGGAAATCTGTCAGAGACCCCCTCATGGCAGCAGGGAGGTCACCCCTGCCCAGTCTCTGCCTGCAGCTTTCCACACTCCAAAATGATGGAGCAGCAACACACTATTTATTCTTCTTTTCCAGCACACACTGTTGTGCATGCTATCCATGTCTGGTTCTTCTGTGTTATTTCTTTATACTTTACCTGGTATAACCAAAAGGCAGATGCATTTCATTGCATTGATGACAAGATTCTTGTAATCCTGTATCTTGGTCAGCATCCTCCTAGACAGGAGAGCCACAGGAATTAATTTTTGAGCAAAAGGAGTGAACTTAAAACTTCTTATTAGAGGATGTGGAGGACCGGACCCTGACAACTCTGCTCAAGAAAGGAAACCAGCTCAGAAGAGGTATTTTGTCAGGTAGATTTAGTGGCTGCTAGGTCATACAAGGGTAAACTCAGCTAGAAGACCCTACTCTCTGTGAAGGAGCAGAGGAACTATGAAATGTATGGGGAGGAGTGCAGCAGAGAGGGGGTTGATTGGCCCCCAGACCCGTGTTTGGGGCATGTGGGCGTGCAGGGACGGCACTCCTCCCAGGAGGGTGGCAGGGGCACCCATCATCAAAGCACACTTCCTGAGAGGGGGAACAGGGAGGCTAAGCCCAGGCACTGCTGGAGACTCTCAGGCCCTACTTGGCTTTCAGCTTTTAATACATTTCACAAAGGGCTTCCTTAGCAGCTTAAAAAGCAGACTAATTTCTGTCTTGTGACTAGCTTCAGGCTGATTGTATAGGAAAGTCCAGGCATAGTGCAACTCCTGTTCTGCGTTCCTGCCACAAGAAGTGGAATCTTCACCCACAGTCTGGTGTGCAGAGCTCTGGGGAGCAGAAATTAACCTGTGATGTACCCCCAGAGAGCCAAAGAGAGAGCTGAAAGGCACTAAAACTCAGTCTTGCCGTCTCCTTCTGCTACAGCTTGGGAAAGGTGATACAGGGGTGCAACAGCTCACCGTGGAGCTGGACATGCAGACAGGTTTTTTTTGGACTTTAGGTTGTGTGAAAGAGAAAGAAATAATGGTATTATTTTCAAATTTCACTTTCCTACCATGTAATAACTGGAGCAGCCTAACCTCTGACTTTTTCCTGCGTTCTCCTTAGAAATGCAGTTTTCTGAGATTTCTAGTGCCATGTTCAACAAGGGAAGGAGGTGGCTTTGGCCCATTGGCTTTCTTTGTGCCATCTCAAGCCCCTTTTCCACTCTGCTTGGGGTCAAACAGCCTGCAGTTGCCATCTTGCACACAGCCCTCCCATCACAAAGCCCCCAGGAGAGAGAAGACATGGCACTGGCATGTACTGCGACCACAAGGCCAGAAACACTGGTGTTTGTAATCATCAGACCGGGACAGTCAGTGCCTTTATTCACATTACCATGTTCTGGGCTTTCTAATACAGATCAAAACAACTGTCACACCCTGGGGCCAAACAAAATACCAGTGAGCACTTTGCCTTCTATAAAATCTTTATTTTCTTAAGTTTAAGATGTCCAGTACCTCAGCTGAAGTAATACCTGGCTTTTTTGCAATGGGCTGCTTGGATATCATAGGAATGTAAGAAAGCGGATGCTGAAAAGACAGCTCAAAGTAGCATTAGTCACATGGAAAAGTGAATTTAAATATTGAATAAGACAGGGAAAAAAAGGCTATCAAAGTCAGAGATACCCGTAAAAGCTAAAACATTCTTAGGGCACATGTGACACTCAGCAAAAGCCTGCAGGTCAGCAGTCCACCAGTCTAACATGATTCCTCTGCAGTCCACCCAATCAAGTCAATCACTTTGTTGGAGGCAAATCCACATGAAAAAAACAAAGCTGGAGACAACTAGAGTGGCTGAGCTCCCAGAAAGCGAAGCATTTCCAAGTTCAGTTTGCAGGACTTCAGCCGAGTGCTTGCATCTTTTGTTGCCCATGGACTTTATTAATATTATTCATGTGATTTGGCTTTCTGTCTGATCTGTGGTCTTCTAACAGTACTTCTACCACTTCTCAATGCCATCTTCCACTTTTTGGAAGAGGAATTGCCTGGGTTTTGTCCTTTCGGGAAGACAAAGGAGGGATGTTGGCAAATTAAAATGCGTTAATGCAGGCTTCCCTTTTTATCACTTTTTATAAGACCAGCCCCAGAAAAATTCTGACTCACTCAACTAGCATATATACAGTTTTAATCCAACCATTCAAGGAATTATGGGGCCAATAGCAACAATATCATTAGCAAAACCCAGAATATTTTAATACTGTTAATTTAGTTAACATCAGCTTTTATGTCAGTTGCCACAAGCCTGTTTTAGAAAGTCCTGTTTTCATTCTCGGGGATGATAATGCACCGGACGTAAAACATGAGCCTGTTTGGAGCTGCAACATTTGTCAGCTGAAGGCTGAAGAGAGGAGGGCCCCAAGACTGCAGTTACTAAAACACACACATCTGAGTGGGAGTTGAGTGGGTATTCTTTACTGAGAACACATCAGCCGAGAGAGGGAGCAGCAGAAATGAAACGAGATACAAAGCAGGAGTTCAAAAGAGAAAGAGGTACGCCTCTCCAGCTTCGGCTTCAAGTGTTAGCTCAAGCTTTGTATAAAACGGTGATGTACAATCTGCTGTATGATTTATCATTTCTTAGAAGGTCCCTTCTTTTTCTCCTGAACTAGAATACTTGCTGCTTTTATTGGCTGCATGTTGCAAAAGTAATAGTGTCATATGTTAACGTCCTGGAAATAAAATTTGAAGATTATTCAACAAAGACTCAGGTAACAGCAAAGGCTTGAGAAATTCATATTCAAAAATACTTAATTTTCACATGTTCATTATGTGTGTTAAATTCTTGGTTCCAGCTAAAAGATTGTAACATACAGCATCACAGTGACATAATTAAGCCATAACAGTGCAGTTTATTACAACTGTGTAAACAAAACCAAGTATTTCTGTAATGGCACTCTTCATGAACCAAATTCTGGCATACACAACCTCAGCAGAAGTCAAAAGAAACATTTACGAAGAAAATAAAACCCCAAATTGAAGCACAGTATATGATTCTGGACAAAATGGACAATCTTTTTCATAAGAGAAAAATATGTCCTCAGAATTTTTGTTTGCTTGCTTTTAAGGAAATTCAATCTGATTTTTTTTCAAGGGATCAGTCCAGTTCATGACATATTTTTACTGTTATTGAATGATATGAACAAAGAGTAAACATCTTTTAATTATGACCATGTGAATACCTCCCACTGTGACATTATATATACTGTCCGTATAGAGTGATACTTGCAGAAGAAATTCCCTAGGGAATAAAAATAAGTTACTGAGAAATAAAATCCAATGTGCTTCATCAAAGAAACTTTCTTTGTGTGTAAGTATCTAAGAGAAAACACAGTATCTTGCTTTTCTGTAACAGAAGTAAACAATTTGATTATAAGACAATGTCCATACTGTAAACTGTAAAATGGGGGTTCAACTTGAAATACACTAATCTCAAATAGATTTTAAATATTAGCACCTAAAAAGTAACACTAGGATTTAAAAAATTTTTGTAGCTTTCAGGTCATGCATTAGTTACAGTTTGCTTGACGGCTTTTTACCAGCAACATTTTAGTGTTCTGTGAGATCGTCTTAATAAAACCACACAGGTCTGAATGCCACTACATTTTACACATGTACCTTTCATACGAGAAGTTTTGCATATGTTCCACCTGCAGAGAGAAAGCCCCACAGTAGCAGGAGGTATAGATAGAGCAAAGAAGTTACAGTTATTTAAAAATACTGGAAAACTGAGAACACGTGATATAATTACAAGCTGGTATCTTCAGTTTACAGGAAGCTATAAATTTTCTTGTTTAAAAAAAGATATCCAACATGTGCTTACTCACATGCTGACACAGAGTTCATGCAAACTATTTTAAAAAACCCTTATAAATTTTACCCTTCAGAAATGCTGCATATACTTCATCCTCAAATAAATTGAAGCCTCTCAGAAACAACAGGGACCTACTGTGCAGATCAATTCAGGCAACATGTAATTGCTTCCTCTGTAATGAGAAGCGAACGGCAGTATCAAACAGGAAATTTCATTGTATCGTACTTCATTTCAAACACTGTTAAGTCCAAATCCAGGTTCACCTGTCACTAAGCAATAAGGCTACCCTAAAAAAAAAAAAAAAAAAGTTATTTTCTTGGAGGAAGGACATTTTCTTCATAATAGCCTGGATTTACTACATTTCCAGCTGGATCATATCTAGCCACAACAAACGTTGAGCCATCACTAGCAGATGCTTTTCCAACTCCCATCTTTTTTGTGTTCTTCCAAACCATTGCAGTGAAGTGACCTAAAGAAAAGAGAGATAAACATATGCATTCATTTTAGGTACTAAACCTGTAACGTTCCCTTTAACATGTGAGCGAGGGGAAAGAAAGAACAATACAAAACTGTTTCTTTCTCTAACAGGAGAACAAGCTAAGGCCATTAAAAAAAAAAAAACTACATAAAAGTCTGACCTGATCTGGTTCTATACTACTATTCCCATTTCCATGTCCTATATCCAAATAAGAGAATCATGAAAGAAGTAGTTTGATGAGTATCCGATATAAAATTTCACAAAGGGATCATGGTCTTTACTCCCTGCAGTCTGAACAGCAGTTCTGACAGTGACTATTATTCATTTGCTTTGACTGTCTCATTTTCCTTCATATGCCTGCATGTCCAACTGTTCAAAATAATACTGGTTGTGTGGCTGCTTCTGCCTAGTTGTAACAGCCACCCCTGCATTGTGCTACTCCATTGGTTGTTCCCTCTATGCATAGACAAATCCCAAGGGAGAAAACCATTATTTTCTTCACCTGAAACAAGCTCAGGCATATCTCTTGCTCGAGCGTTATTCAAGGAACAATGTTCTTATGTTCCTTCAACACCAGATTGTCAATATGCAGTCAATGGCCAGATCCTGATCTCCAAATTATATCTGAAGTGATCTCTGTTAATGGAGTGATATCATTTGGTGGAAGACAAATGTCAATGTAAACGACAGAACAGCACATTTAATAAGACACCTATATGATTCCAATTTAGTATTTTCTACAAATTAATTTGCCTTAAAAATAAATTTCCTTTTAAAAACTTTGGAGTTGGGAGGAAAAACACAGTATTAAAAAAACCCACAATTTTTGCCTACTTATTCATTTCTCAGTTTCCTTTTACCCTTCTGTCAGTTTCTAACATGAAACTTTGGGGAAATTCTATTTTTTTTCCTCTCTTTTTTTTTTTTTTTTCCCTAAGAAAAAAAGGTAGATTTTTTTTAAATACCAAACCAAGGTAGTTAGCCAATTTCTTAAAAGAAAGGATATGCTTTTAAAGAGACAGTGCCCAGTCTGAACTTACCTGTCCCAGAAGAAAACCCTGGGTTTTGAAAGTTGTAATTTTTTATTTCACTGTACCATCTGTCAGCCACATCTTTTCCTGAAAGACAAACAAAATTTGCTGTGGAATCATGACAGGTAACATAAACACAAAAGTGTGGCTTACTTGTAGTCTGGCCAGCAAGATCTTCTGCTAATAGCTGTGAAGAACTGTGCAGCTTAAGACAACTTCCAGAAACATGGAGAAACAGTCTTTTTACTGGAGAGAGTTTCTGAAATGTAGGTAACATGGCAGCACATATAACTTACAAAATATTTAGTGGTTTGCAATAGCTGTTTCTACTCAGACATTAATTAGTCCAATGCTCCCTGTTAAGCATCTCATGCCATCAATGCCCTCAATGACTTGAGTTCTGCTCGATGCAAAGACAGTCCATCAGTTTCTCCACTGGAGCGCCAAGGACTGCGTGGCTGGCACAGCCTGGCTCAAAGCCTGGGCAGGCCACCCACCAAACTGCTGTAGAATCAGGGAGAGTTTATCCTGTTCAGGGAAGATCTCTGCAGCAAGGTGCTAGCCTGGTAGGACAGAGCTGATGAAGAGTGCTATACTATCACCAACAGAGCAGCGAACAGGACCACCCACCAATTCTCGCCTGTGGTTAGAACATTATAAGGTTAAAGTTAGAAAATCCTTTGGACAAGAGAGATCTCTGTGGCACGGCATTTGGATTGAGATGGGGCAGAAATCCCTTTAGTGCTCAAAGAAATGTCCTTAAAGAAACCATCTGGCAATTTAACACTTTGAGTTTATGCTTTTTTTTTTGCCCACAGCCTTCTGTAACTTTCAGCCTGGAAGGCCGTGAAAACACATCTCCCTCATCTTGGATGAGTGCTCTTTACAAGTCATTACAAGAAGTCATTACACTTCTATACACAGCTTTCAGTAGCTCCTCCATCTTGGAAGGTGTTTGAAAAGACTTACATGAGCCTTGACAGATTTTCTGAGCAAAAGGGCAGAGGGACCTTTTCCAGAGGGAGGCCTCCCACCTGTGGATGCAGGTGTATGAAGATATCCCCTTACAGCTCCAAGCAAACCAAAGAAAAATGACACCTCTGACATCCTCTAGTTTTCCGTGTCCTCATCAGCATTTAATACTTTGAAGTTCTGAGTGCATTTATTTTGAGTGGTTCATTCTTGCCCCTTGAGCCACTATGGATATCCACTTTGAGGCACTCTAACTCAGGGTACTATAGTCAGACACCTTAAATATACATGCCTAGAAGCTGCTGCTGAGTGGAAGTCCTTGTGTCCAGCACTGGCTCATCTCATCAAAGGCTTTCACTAACCACAGCTGTATAAGGACTATGACTATGGCCAGTGACATAGCACTACATGACTGTGGGTCTCTAAGGTTGATGTTTGCCAAAGAAATAATCCTTCCTTGTTTTGTGTTGACTGACTAAGAACCTGAGAGAAAGGAGCAGATCAGATAAACTGCAGTGGGTTCTGTGGAACAGGCAGCACAGGGGGCAGGAGCTCAGACCAGAACTTGCAGATCCTATGCACTCAGAAGTCAAATGTTACTTCTTTTCCATTGTTAGGAAATTCTTGTGTCAAACATTGCAGGGGGCGGGGGAAGAAGGGGCAGGTTTTTCCCTGAGCTACATCAATAATGAACTTTCTGCTTAGCATTCCAGGATGTATAACGCAAGGCTGGTTGATTTCATAGCAAGCTGCCAATGCTGTTAAGCCTGCCGTCATGAAGAACGCTGGTCCCTGGTGGACTGTTGGCTGCAGAACAGCAATGACTCATGTTTTGCTATCTTGCAGCAAAAAGTCTTAAACTTGCCCTGTTCTAGGACTCAGATACTGCGTTAATGTCTTTAAACTTCAGTTGCTTATGAGACCAGTATGCTAAAAGGATGGCATTGTTAGCCTGGCAAGCTGCCTGTCAGAGCTGTCACTGGATAGAAAATATTTAATTAAATGCCATCTCTTAAAAGGTTTGTGGACTGAAAGTACTATGAACTTACCCATGCCACACTTGTTAGGAATGGTGCTCTCTTAGTAGAGTGAATTTAAATTTTCTACATAAAAAGGTACCAAACCCTTTCTTGCTTCCCAAAAGTAAATGTTTCAGGAATAGCATTAGGTTCCTTCCTTCCCTGCTCTCCCTGTGCCAGGCAACAAACCCTGTCGACCTGTTTCACAGCTGAAGTCTGTAACACAAATAAATATTTGTTCATTTGTTACTCACACTAAAGCTAAAATGAACACTGAAAAAAAGTGCAAAGAGTAATCTTTATGCAATACAAGGGGAAAAGAAAAAGCACATAGTAAAAAAACCCCAAACAAACCCAAGCAGATCATCCTTTTCCACCCTAGACTTCAAAGCTATGATGGATTTAGATGTGTTTGTGGCACGTGGGGGTGGAACATAAGTACAGAATGTGACTGCAGACATGTCAGATCTTATGAAGCACATGTATTTTATGTGCACAAGCGCTTAAGTGAATATACTATGTACACAGCATTTTTACAGTTGTAGGACTGCGTTCCCACTGCTGCTGGCACGTCATTCCCTCTGTTAACAGATCAGTATGATAGAGCACAAAGAGTAGCTCAAGAGAAAGTCATCCCCACTCTACTTACTGTAGCTCTAAGAAGTGCACCTAGGCTCCACGTGATGAAAACTGAAAATATCCATAATGGAAATCTTGCAGGACACATGGAATTTTTTCAAACACAGTATCTCTTCATATATTTTTTTTTTAAATTTAAAGAATACTATAATTTGTTAGCTCTTTAATTCAAAGGAAATGGCAATAGCATCAGGTAATACCTCAATCCTGTACATGAAAGACAACGAGCATGATTAGTTAGCACAATCGATCGTGTGTTAATTCCCAGCCTTCATGGATTAAAGCTTGCAACTTACTGCAGCCAGGCAGTGAAAGCCTAGAAGCTGACAGCTATGCTCCGTTTTTCACGGGCAGGATCAGGTTACCATTATATGGCATTGCTGTCATCCTCCTTGAATTAAGAGTCATTGCATCATAGGCTGTGAGAAATTAAAGACTGACTTGTTCCCAGCAAAAGAGAAGGTGACCAAAGGACGAGGCAGCTTTTGACAGATAGTCTTGAAATCAGGTTAAAGAAGTGTCCTGGAAGTGAAAGGAACGAAATGTACCTGTCACATGCACAGGAGGTGAGGGAGGTCTAAGTTATTTCCACATGAGAAGACAAGTAGGTACCCAGTGATTGAACACGCTCTCTTTCCACTGAAATACTTTTCTTCTGATTCTTTGCCCCTTGGGGAGCAGTAAACAATGTGGTGGTGGGACATAAGCCAAACTAGTGCTGAAAGTGAGAGCTGATACACAGGGGACTAAAGGCAAACTCTGTTTTGAGCCCAGTCACCCCCAGGCTTCCCAGGGCCTAGAGAAAATGACCCAAAAGAGAGCAGCAGAGGGGTCAGCAGAGCACTAATCCACCTGCTTTAGCAGCAACATGCATCCCCTCAGACTTGCTGCTTCAGAGAACTGACCACAGTATTTCCATTTCAAAGTATTACAGAATAAGTGATGCAGTTACATTTAGTGTCCATTTCCCTTGCACTTGAATGTTCCATTGAAAACAAATCCCACTCCAAAAAGCTCTCCCAAAACAGGGGTTGGTTACTGTTAAAAATGCATTTCAATCAGAAGGAAAGCACACAGAAAATAAATTTAACTCCCACCCCTCTTTCCCGATTATAGCAGAAATAATAGAAGTTTAGTTCTATCAAAAAGCACACAGATCTGTCCTACAGTCAGTGCTGCAGCTTCTCTTCTGTTGCTCCACTTGCAGAACCAATTAGAATATTGCTATTTTTTTTCCAGTATCCTTCCTGTTTGCTTTGCTTTAAACCACATTCACAGTTTCAACACCTTCTCTATGGAAATACAGTTTGACTCTGCCATTCTCCTAGCAACAGCTGACTGATGATGTGCTTGGTCAGGCTTACTAGCTGTTCACTTCAGTACAGGCTGAATCTCACTCTAATGAGTTTCATCAGTACCACGGGTCTCTGGACATATCTATATCACACAAAAACTTGGTGCAACAATCCTTGAGTTAGTACCCATGTATAGTTCTGCCCAAAACTAGGTCCAGCACAGCATAGTCATGTTTATTTAGTCTTTGCCCGAGCTACAAGCTAGTAACATGTCCACAATGACGAAGGTCAGTCCCTACATAGGACTAACAGTCCTGGTGTAAAGTTCTGCTCATAACACTCTCTGAAGAGTAGAGAGATAAAAGGGGCCACTGCATGTGAACAGGTGTCAGTACTCTGGCCTGGCCATGCCCTGCATCTGATCAGTTTTCCTGTTGTCTTACTAAATTTCATTTCCAACTATTCTCCTGGGTGAGGAGCTCTGTTCTGTGAGGATGGAATGGGGGGTGCGAGGGAGGTGTCCGAGTGCCAACAACTCGCATCCAACCAAGTGTTTCAGGTACCTGGGTGTCTGTGGTGCCAGCAATTGGAGCACCAGTGTGGGTGCAAGCGTCTGAGCACCAGCAAAACAGAAGCTGGATTAGAGTAGGTGAAGTGGTCTGGGAAGTGTTGCTACAGGAGTGTATGGCTGCCGCAGGGACAAGGGAGGTCCTGGCCAATGGCCAGAGAGCTGCGTGTGCACGTGTGCCAGATGTGTTGTACCAGGAAGTGGAGTGGAACTCCAGCCTCGAGGGTTTATATGTCCAGTTGCCAGCAACCGGGGAGACTGGGATCCAGGGGCAGTTACTGCACAGACTGAGTGTCTGAGCCCACCTGCTGCAGGGATCCACACTGGAATTTTATTTCCATTACTGAAATATATATATTATTTAATGCTATACAAATATAAATATATCTAAAAATTCCTTACTGGAAATATATATTTTAATATCTAAT